TTAGTACATAGGCCATGCATTGCATGGGTGGGGCAAACTGTTCTTTTTTTAAAAGATACTCTTTTAGTATCTCTGAAAGTCAGCCTCTGCTAAATGCCAATTGATTGTTGCAACACTGGAATATGAATCCAGTGTCATCAAATCCAGCAATTTTTCAACAGAAGCTGAAAATTCCATTTTTATGTAAAAATCTACCAATTTTAAATATTGCCAACTAATTCTCTAATTTTATTTTTAAATTGTACATACTAAAAACATCTGCAGAGTGTACTTAAACTATTGGCTACTAGTTTGCTCTTGTGAAATATGCTGTTAGGACATGGATTAAGGCCTATTTGATATATATTTAAAGAGTAGGTAGTGTCCTGATACAGAAATTTGTAGAAATGAAAAAAAAAAAGGAATGAAAAGAAATCTGTAGAAATGGTTGCATATCCTTAAACTGTTACAAGCTATCAGAAATAATTGGAAATGTGGCATTTTCATGAAATGAGGCTATTTCTGTTTGCCAGAAGGCACATTAAAATGTTTTGTAATAGTTGACTTAGTGAACTGGAAACAGCTGTGTTTGGTGAAATGTTTGTTACAATCTATTTTTTAACTTTTTTGTTTTTCATTTGTTTTTATTTTGCTTGGTATCAAAGTTGGTATCAAGTGAAGAAAGTTAAAATTATGCTTGGTGGTATTATATGGCTTTATTTCCTTTGCCCAAAATGAAGACAAGCTAACAAACTGTCTCCAAATATCATAAAAACCAGATTTCTTGGAAAACTATGTTAATTTCTGAATATTCCACCCTTTTCTGAGGAAATTCCAGGATAATTTGTTACATAATTGCCATGGGTAATAGCTATCCATCTGTTCCCATTCAATTACAGTATTTCAAAAAATTTATAAGGTCACTAAGCGGTTCATATTAGTACATTATTCAAGAAGATTCTTAGGATCTAACCTTATGTTTAAATGTAACACTTTATGATACCCATTTAGTTATTTAAAAATTCTATTATCTTGCCCTTCAAAGAGTTTTTGTTAGGATTCAAATATTTATGTATTAGATATTCTGCTTTATTTATGGATTTGAATCTCTCCGGTACTTAAATTTGGCCCACCAACCTCCTGAAGCTATTAATATCAACCATGGCAGAGTGATGCACTGTCAGAGGTAGATGATGTTGAACAGAAGACTTCCTCTGGGTAGCATGCTGTCAGGAGAAAATGTGTGACAAATTTTCTCTTCCAAGACACTTACTATTCCATTCCAGCCTGTATACGTAATGGGTATTCCACACACAGTCAACCAATCCATAAATCTGTCACAATCAGTATCAGGTTTATATCTTCTTACCTTTACACACATACACACACATGCACACACACACACACAAACGCCCTTCAGGCTGCTGGTATTCCTTCTAGACTTCTTTATATTCTTGTGGTGATGTCCTTGATGATCATTTTGGCCCAATTCACACGTGTATGTGGAGAGGGAAACTTATATATTGAAATTTCCTTTTGTGGTATGTTTAACCCTTCATGTCACACCCCAACTCTACTACATACTGATAGCTTCTTCAGACATGTGCTGAGTACCTGCCCTGTGTCACATACTATACAAGGTTCTTGGGACACGAGAATGATGCCTGCCTTCAGAGAATTTTTCATCTGGTGGACAGACATGCGAGCAAGACTTCAGCACTGACAAGATATGTACTCTACTTGAGGAACGTATGAGATATAATGGCCTCACTCATTACATATTTTTGTGCACTTCAGTGTCAGTTTATTCTAGATACTCAGGATACATCAAGTGAACAAGTGAACAAAGATATTCTGCCCTAACTTAAACATTTGTAGAACACAAAAAAGGCTGACCAGGGTAATGAGGATTGAGCTCTATTTTCATGGTTAATAATTTTAGTGAACAAAACTGAATGGGTTCTGCTCACTAGCAACAAACATTTTAAAATTAAATTGCAAAACAATTCCATTTACAATAGAATAAAAAAGAATAAAATGCTTGGGATAAAACATTAAATGGCTTGTCTAAACATCCTGCTAGGATTTAAAGCCCCCACCAGTAATTAACAAGAGCAGAACTCCCCTACAAGAGACTCATTTTAGACCTAAAGACAATTGCAGATTGAAAGCAAGGGGATGGAGAAACATTTATAATGCAAACGGATGTCAAAAGAAAGCTGGACTAGACTTGTATCACACAAACTAGACTTTTTTGTTCTTGTATTGTTTTTAATCCTGCTTTGGTATCAGGGTAATACTGGCCTCACTGGATGATTTTTTAATGTGTTCCTCCCTCTCTTCCATTATTTGTAAGATTTTGATTAAGACTGTCATTATTTTGTTAAATGTATTTTGATAGAAGTCACCAATTAAACTATGTGGTCTTGGGCTTTTCTGTGCTAGAAGATTTTTGATTCTGAATTCAACTTTCACTCTTGTTATTTGTCTAAAAAACTGTCCTATTTGTTGGGTTCAAGATTCATGATTCAATCTTGGTAACATGTGTTTTTTTCTAAGTTATCTGATTTGTTAGTATATATTTGTTTATAGTGCTCTGTGATCACACTATGTATTTCTGTGGTATGTGTTGTGTTGTTTTTTCTTCCATTTCTCATTGTGGTTTTTGAGTCTTCTCTCCTTCCCTAGGTAATGTAGTTAAAGCATTGGCAATTTTGTTTATTTTTTTTTTTTTAAAAACTGGTCATTACTTTCAATGTTATGTTATTATTTATTCTGGTCTCTATTTTATTTCTGATATGTCTTTATTATTTCCTTCCTCTACTAAATTTCAGCTAAGTTTCTTCTTTTCTTAGTTCCTCATGGTATAATATTAAGTTGTTTATTTGAACTTTCTTTCTTACTACAAGCATTTATAGCATAAATTTCACTCTAATATTGTGCTTTTGCTGCATCCCATAGATTTTGGAATACTATGTTTTTCTTTTGTTTTGAGACATATTTTGATTTGCTCTTTAATTTCTTATTTGGCCCATTGCTGGTGCAGTAGTGTGTCGTATAATATTTACATGTTAAATATTTAATATTTACATTATAGATTTTCCAGCTTTGTTTTATTGCTCATCTTTAGTTTTGTACCATTGTGGTTGGAAAATATACCTGGTATGATTTCAGTTTTCCCAAGCTTCTCTTTTTTTGTGATAACCAGGGGATTCTTCTGTGTGTACTTAGAGAGAATGTGTATTCTGTTTTTCTTGGATGAAGTGTTTTATACATATCTCTTAGCACCATGTGTTCTGAAGTATGCTTCAAGTAAAAAATGTTCTTGTTGGAAAAAAAGAGGAAAAAAACAAGAGTGGAACTCAAACATCCCCATATTCTGCTCCCAAGTTTCCATTTTATGGTATCAATGGGGAAATTCAAGCTGCAACTTTGGGGTTTTGTTCTTTTTTAAAGAACACTTCTGCAATCAACAGTGAAAGGCTTTATTGTCCGTCACAATCTGCCTGCTAGAAAGGGAAGTGGAGGGTGCTGCTGGTGCCCATGGCTTCCTGGATGCGTCTACACTAAATAAATTGTTACTTATGAATACTGGCAAGAGCACCATGGGGCAGAAGTGTCTTCAAAACAGGAAGGCAGGCACCAGAAATCCCAAGTTTCTTTGTTGTGGGGAGAGGTTACATCCCTTACCTGTAACCTCACAGCCCAGAGCTGGGGATCCCTGGCCTACAGCCAGCTGAGAGAGGCGGCGCTATCAGTGCATGGAGGAGGCCGGAAAGGTGGGTGCCCACACCTACTCAGCAGCAGAAAGAGCAGCCAGACCTGGGGTCCAACCCACATTTACACTGACAGCCCCTTAGGGCAGGGTCTGAGTACTGGCTCTGGTCTGTGAACTACAAAGTGGGATGAACAACTGACCGGCTGTGGATATGACCTTCATACGTTCACAACTTTTGTGTGAGAAACGCTCTCGCCTTTGAGGGCCCCAGTTTTGTTTCAGGGTTCTCACTGCCTAAACCCGCTCAAGATCTTTAAAGGTGCACTAGAGGTGGGACCTCTGGATGTGAAAGACTGAAAGCTGATGGGTCAGATTTGGCTGGGAACACAATCCTTTCTGGGGTCCATGCCACCCCTGCCCCCAACCCCTACTCCTCTGGTTCATCTTCTGTGACATTCATCGTTCTGGTTTTAACCTGGCTCTTTTTCCTGACTCCAGTTATGTTACGTGACTGCCTCTCGTGTCTCTGGCCCAGTTAGGCTCTTTGCTCTTAATCATTGGTTCACCCTTTGATTAAGGCGAACCTTAATTAAGCTCTTGAAGAGGAATCTGGCTCGTTTCCTGCCTCCCAGGCTCAGAACCACTCCAACCTGCTACCATTTGTCCTCATGATCTTTGGAAGAAAAGGGGAAAAATTTTAAACAAGGTATAAATGATTGATAACCTGTCATCACAGTTTCAGGGGGACAAATGTGAATGTTTTAAAGGAAGGCCATCCTTTAGCATGTACGTGTTTAGGCATGCTTTTTATTTATTTGGCTGCACGTTATCTTAAAGCTATTATAACTTAACATGAAGTCTTACATATGGCTAAGCAGTTGCATTACTCATCCACAATGTCCACTGCACGTGATGCCTTAACTCTTGGGAGGCCCTGTTTGCCTCTGGTAGCCTCCCCCTCACATTCCTATGACGGCCACCAGAGGAGGAACACGACAGCTGCGGGAGAACAGTCCCCGGCCTCTCTGCTCATCGGGTGCACCTGCCAGCCACACAGACCAACCAGACAGAAGGGTGGAGAGAAGCTGTGGGCGAGGCAGCTGGTTTTGTACAGCATATTCTCTGCTCTTTCGAGTCTATGTTCAGGTCAAGTTACCTTACTCTCTTCCTCTTTTATGCCCACCTTCTCTGACAGGGAGCTTGGAACGAAAGGAAGAGAATGAACAAGAGTTCTTCCAACTACATCATTCATTTTAAGATAAGCTGAAATCAAACAGTTTAGTGAACACTATCAAGAACTTACAAGATACCATGCCATGTGCTAGGGCTCGAAGATGAATAAAGGGGTAGGGATTCCATCATCAAAGAGTACACAGCCTGAAGGGAAGAAACATGTTTTAACATATTTTGATAATAGTGTACAATGAGTACAATAATAAATGCGTCTAAAAAGATAGAAAAAGAAGTAATTCTGCCTGGTGATGTCTCTGGTGGTGACCACTGAGGTGTTTAAAAGGGGGAATAAGAATTCTCCAAGTGGACAAGAGACAGAAGAAACTGACGATAAGGGAATATAACATGCATGGTATGGTTGGGAACTGTATTTGTTTTCTACTGTTCTCATGACCAATTACCACGAACTCAGTATCCTATACAACACAAATTTATTATTTTACAATTCTGTAGGTTGGAAGTCCAACATGGATCTCAATGGACTAAAATCAAAGTTTAGGTAGGTCCACATTCTTTTCTGGAGGCTCTACCAGAGTATCTGGTCTTTTCCTTTTCCAGTTTCTAGAGGCTACACACATTCCTTGTCCTATGATCCCTTCCTCAGGTAAGTCAAGTCCTTCTCACACTTCCAATATTTCCTCCTCCTTCCATTTCATCTCTCTAACCCAGCCGGGAAAGATCCTCTGCTTTTTTAAAAATATAATTTATTGTCAAGTTGGCTTCTATACAACACCCAGTGCTCATCCCAAGTGCCCTCCTCAATGCCCATCACCCACTTTCCCCTCTCCCCCAGCTCCCATCAACCCTCAGTTTGTTCGCAGTATTTAAGAGTCTCTTATGGTTTGCCTCCCTCCCTCTCTGTTTGTAACTTTTCCCCCCTTCCTTTCCCCCATGGTCTTCTGTTAAGTTTCTCAAGATCCACATATGAGGGAAAACATATGGTATCTTTCTCTGACTGACTTATTTCACTTAGCATAATGCCCTCCAGGTCCATCCACATTGCTGCAAATGGCAGGATTTCATTCTTTCTCAATTGCCAAGTAGTATTCCATTGTGTATATAAACCATATCTTCTTTATCCATTCATCAGTTGATGGACTTTTAGTCTGTTTCCATGATTTGGCTATTGTTGAAAGTGCTGCTATGAACACTGAGGTACATGTGCTCCTATGCATCAGCACTCCTGTATCCCTTGGGTAAATTTCTAGTAGTTTTATTGCTGGGTTGTAGGGTAGTTCTATTTTTAATTTTTTTGAGGAACCTCCACACTGTTCTCCAGAGTGGCTGCACCAGTTTGCATTCCCACCAACAGTGCAAGAGGGTGCCCATTTCTCCACATCCTCACCAGCATCTAGAGTCTCCTGATTTGTTCACTTTAGCCACTCTGACTGGTAAGAGGTGTTATCTCCGTGTGGCTTTGATTTGTATTTCCCTGATGATGAGCGACATTGAGCATCTTTTCAATGTCGTTGAATGTCTGTTGGCCATCTGGATGAAAGATCCTCTGCTTTTAAGGACTCCTGTGATTACATGGGGCTCAGAAGGTAATCCATAATGATCTCCACATCTCAGGGTCCACACTTTTAATCACATCTGCAAAATCCCTTTTGCTCTATAATGATGGTAAAACATCTCTAAAAATGTCAGTGATTAGGATGTGGACATCTTTGGGGGCGAGGGGAAAGACATCATTCTGCGATTCACAGGAGATGACCCAGAAGTGAAATGGTCATGGGAGGTTCATAAACGGAGGAGACAGGTTTGGAGAGGGTGGTGGCTGCCAGATAATGAAAGCCCTTGTATGCCATGTTAATTGGGCTAGAGTTAATCCTGAAGGTGATAGGATTCTTTGAAGGGTTTACAGCAAGATGAAAATTGTGTTTTTAAATTGTGTTTTGCTGGCAGCATGACTCAAGAGAGACACGACTTGAAGTCAGAGGCAGTGGTTAGTTATCTAGTGCTCAGTAAAGAGTTACAGATTCTGTTTATTCTATAAAACTATCTGACAGTATTTGGTTCAGCAAAGTCTATAGATGAAATGCTGCACAATAATACATTTCTCTCTAAAAAATGGTCACGATAACTGAATGTTGATATTGTGCTGTTTAAGGAAATAATTTCATGTATTCCATGTGTTAGACAAAGAAGACATTTATTATTCTTTAACCATAACTCCCATAGTCTTATAAGACCCTTGCCCAAATCAAGTTCTAAACAGACCAATAGCAGCCTGCAGACTCCCCTGTTTGGGGGCCATCAGGGTAGTTCACACTAGGGGAATAAATTAGAGTCCCTGGGGAAAGTAAGTAATTGAAAAAGAGGAAAAGGATAAGGACCAAATCCAGGAGGACACCAGCTTTTAAAGGGAGGACCAGAAAAGAAAACGGAAGAGTAAGAGAGAGAACCATGAGATGATACAGTACAGGAAATGGAAGAGGAGAGCGCTCCTGGAATGATGATAAGTCAATAGTAATAAATGTCACAAAGTTATCAAGTAACCTAAGGACAGAGAAATGTCATTTGAATATAATAATTAAGAGGTCACTGGGGCTCCATTTCCAACTGAGATGGAGAAATAGGAACAAGATATACCCCCCTCCTACCTTACACAACAAAGATCAAATCAAATTAGATGAAACAATGGGTTTCAAACTTTGGACAACAGATAGCACAGAACAGTAATCTTGGCGGGGGTGAGTAGTAGGTAAACAAATAAATTTAGAGCTATCATCGCCCCATCTCACTACTCAGTGTTTCCAATTAATGATAGCTTAGGGAGAGGGAACCCAAGCAGAACCCGGTGATCTTGCTGATTTGTGGAGACAGAGTTTGGGATTCATGGAAGCCAAGTTGGCTAAAATATATTGGTGAGGAGAGGGCAGGGTTTCACAGAGAGGAAGCTCCAGAGACCCGCAGAGAAATATTGGTTAGTGCATGCTTGTGAGGGAGGATAATGCTGAGGCTGGAGAAAAAATTCCCAGAGAGGAGGGTATCGAACAATACCTAGAACTCACATAGAGCCAAATCAGGGCAGAAAGACCTCCTAACATATGGGCACTGAATAGAAAAGGTATTGCTTCGGCAGTGGGGCCAAATTAGCCTTAAACAAAAGATCATTCTAGACTTCCTTAACAAAGATTACAAGTAAGCCTTGAAAGGATCAAACTGTTTCCAAGAAACTCAAGTGTGACTCACAATGCCCCAAAAATATATTTTTTAAAAACCCACTTCCCAAAAGCGTAACATTCACAATGTCAGGCATGCAAAGAAGCAGGAAAATACGACCTAAAATGAGGAGGAAAATCAAACAATGGAGTAGACACGGAAACAGAATTAATTAACAAGGACATTAGAACAGATATTATACACGTTTTAATGTTGGAAAAAGGTGGATGGAAGCACAAACATAATGAGAAAAGAGAAAGTTATACAAAGACTCAAATTAAACTTCTAAAAATCAAAAATACAGTATCTGAGATGAAAAATTCACTAGATGGGATTAATAGCAGATTGGACACTAAAGAAAAAAAGATTGGTAGGTTTTGAGATGTAGCAATAGGCACTATTCAAAATAAAACAAAGAAAAAGGAGTGTAAGATAAAAAAGAGAACTTCAGCGATCTGTGGACATCAAGTGGCCAAACATGAATAATTAATCACAGAAGGAGAGGAGAGGGGGTACAGAAAAATATTTGAAAAACTGACATCTGAAATTTTTCTAAACTTGATGAAAACTATAAGCTCACAGATCCAAAATTTTGAACAAATCTCAGGCTGAAGAAAACCACATCAAGATAAATCATAAACAAATTACTGGAAAATAGTGGTTAAGAGAAAAATATCAAAATCAGCCAGAGAAATTAGTCATCTGCCCATTAGTTTGGTGAAGTACTGGCAAGCCAGTGACTATGACTCCCTGAGTGCCCAGAAGGTAAGGGAGTGGAGACACAGAGCAGAGACTCCTCAAGAAAGCTGAAATGAGAGTGAAGGAGAGACAGAGAGAGAGAGAGAGGAGCACAGCATCCAGGATAGATTTTGTGTTATTGTGGTTTTTGTTTGTTTTTTGTGTGTGTGTTTTGGGTTTTTGGGGGGTTTTTTGAAAGAGAGAGAGAAAGAGAGAGAGAGAGGCAGATGGGGAAGGGGAGAAATGTGGGGAGAGAGAGGAGAGAGAGAGAGAATATGAATCTTAAACAGGCTCCATGCTCAGTGTGGAGCCCGATGTGGTGCTCGATCCCAGAACCCTGGGATTCATGACCTGAGCCGAAATCAAGAGTCTGAGGCTCCACTGAGCTGCACTGGTGCCCCTGTGTTGTTGTTCTTGTTGTTTTTTAAATGAGAAGGACATCCATAGGTTGAGGATAATGTCAATAATGATAATAATAATTAAGCCATTGATTAAGCTCTTATTTGTATCCTAGATACTATGCCAAATACCTCATATGTAATTATTCATGTAGTTCTCACTACAGACTTATGAAATGGGGACTCCTTGTCTTTTTGTCTTTTACAAACTAAAAAAAATGAGGCACAGCTTGATTAAATATACTCCAAGTTACAAAGTCAAAAAGTAATAGAGCTGAACAAAACAAAGAAAAAAATAGACAAACCAAAACACAGACTCAAATAAGAGAACTGATGGCTACCAGAGGGGAGGTAGGCAGTGGGCTGGGGGAAATAAAGGAACAAGAGTGCACTTACGATGAGCACTGAGTAATATTTAGGATTGTTGAGTCACTATATTGTACACCTGAAAATAATAGAACTTATACTGGAATTTGAAAAGGAAAAAAAAGGTAGTAGAGCTGGAATTCCAATCAAAGTCCACTTGTGATGTACTTGGCTACAATGCTATGCTGAGCCGGTTAAGAAGAAGAAATGTATTATAAAGGAGAAGGAGGTATATAACTGATGCTTTAATGTCTAGGAAGAAGTAGGACACACTATATTTGAAAACACAGACGAATATGTTTGCCTAACCAAGAGGAAAGGAAGATGTCATTTTTGAGATTTGGGGGAAGAAGTTAAGGGTGGGTGTGATTGTAGATAAACAGATCTGTTGATGTAGATGAGTTCAGGTGGCCTAATTTTGTTTGGTGATTGAGTTACCTGTAAGGGAAAGGTGCCGTTTGCTATAACAATCAAGGC